CAGCTCAACCAGTCAATGTTATCATTTGTGACTTGAGCATAAAATTTAAGAGGATTTTGAAAGGAGGAAAAGAGTCACATAAAGAAAGAGTTTAAAAATCCAGTAACACTTGTTAACCAGCAAATTACTTTTGAAGTGTAGTTACTTGTGTTGGGCAGATAAATGTGGCATATCATTCTGCACAACCAGATACATTGAGCAGTTTTTGCATTTCCCCTTTTCCTCTCTGTCCTAAGAATTTACTTCATTCATAAGATTTATAAAAAAGTACACTACATGACCATTTGAGTTGAGTTTACATGATGTAAGATAAGTAAAAGTACAATTCAAGTTTACAATATTTATTCCTTGTCAAACACATAACCCAAGGGTTTGAACACTATTAAAGGAACTCCAGTCTGAATGGCCAGATGGAGCTTTGGTTTGACACCTCACGAGCAGGAAAGCATCATTTACAATATAACACCATTGCAATTATATATTTTAGAAGAAAAACTTAATTTATATAGCAATTTTCATGAATTTCATATGTCATTGGTTTTCATACTTGAAATATCACACCCCAAATAGTGGCGCATTCCTTCCAAGCTGCACTGCTGTGTGTTGTATATTTGGTAAGAAAGACAGGCTGTCACTTTAAGAACTTGATCATGCGATGTAATGCTGATGTCATCCACCATTTTGGATGGAAACTTGGTCTACCCTTGCTGCTTGCCGAATGAACACCTCCTTAATAAAGGTCCTGCTGTAGTTAACCACTCTGGCTTCCTGGTCCTTTTTGAAACTTAACACAAGTGTAAAAGTGGCGACGAGGATAAAATCTGCTTCATTATCCACCTGTTGAATCTGTTGATTTACTGTGGTCCTAACTGCAGGTCTTGGAGGCACTTTGGTAAAAAGAAAAGAAATCCAAAGATGCCATCACTGCATTGAAGCAGGTAAAGTCAGTTAAAAAGAAACAGGAAGAGGTGAACAGTGCAGAAGAAACTCAACACATGATCCAACCTGTAGGAACACTGTGAGTAACGAGTGTCCTCCACAGAGCGAAATGTTTTGAGCTGGGGTGTAGTCTTGGAAAAAACAGGCAGCTTCAGGGATATCTTGTTTCAAATGGGAAGACATAAGGTAGTGCTAAACTCTTCATGGTACTTCGTGCTAGACAGGTGCTTCCACTTAAAAATGGCAGAAACCTTTGGCGCTGTGGGACTGCATGATGAAAATACAGACAGCTGGAACTCCACACAAAGGAAGATTCCATTGTTTTGTTCATGCTAACAAAATTATAGCAAAATTATAGTCATCCCTGAGTTCTTGAGTATTATGGGGGAGCAAAACTTTTAACCTCCTGAGGACTCTGGTACAAGCAGAGAAGTCCGATTCCAAAACTAATGAAGAAGCAGTAGGAATATTACAGAACCATTTAACACCAAAGCCATTGGTGATTGCCAAAAGGTTCTGGCTCCACAAATGAAACCAGCATGGGATCTGAGAAACATAGGAAAGATCTCTGTCAAATTGAAAATCAAGGATGAGGATTAAGACAAGGTGTTACAAGACTAAATCATTGCTTTATGCAATAAGACCAAACGTTGAGGCAGAATTAGAGACGCTGATGAAGATAGGATTCTTTTTACCTGTAAATGTGAGTATTTGGGCCGCATCTACTGTAACAACGATGCAAAAAAGATGTATTGGTATGCATTTGTGGTGATCTTGAGTTCACTATTAATCTGATTCTGTATGCTGACAAGTATCCTTTTCCTTTAATTGATGACCTATTTGCTGGACTAGTTGGAAGACCATTTTTCAGTAAAATTGACCAATGTCAAGCCTATCCGCAGAAGAATATAGATCCTGAATCACAGAAATACTTGAAGATTGTAACATATGAAGGGCTATTCAAATACAAGAGACTTCCAGTTAGAATCATACCGACACCTGCATTATTCCAATGTGCCTTGGATCAGATTTTAAGTAGATTAGAAGGAGTCCAGTGTTACCTCGACAATATTTTAGTCATGGGGAGAAATGAAAAAGATAATTTCCATAATTTAGATTCTACCTTGTCAAGGTTTTAAGATTGTGGCCCAAGAATAAGGAAAGATAAATGTGATTTTCAAAAAATTTTTCATCAAACATTTCAGCCATGTCATTGATACTAAGGTACAATACTTTGATTTGATTTATTACTGTCACATGTACCTAAATACAGTGAAAATTTTTGTTTTGCGTGCAGTACAGGCAGATCATACCATACGAAGATCATAGGGTGATTGAACAGAGCGAAGAATACAAAATTATGGCTGCAAAGAAGGTGCACAGAAAGCAAGATCAACATTAGATTTGAAATTTGAGAAGTCCATTCAGAAGTCTAATAACAGCAGAGAAGAAGCTGTTCTTGAACCTGTTGGTACATGTGTTTAAGATTTTATATCTTCTGCCTGACGGAAGAGGTTGGAAGAGATTATAACCAGGGTCTTTGATGATATTAGCTGCCTTTCTGAGGCAGAGAGAAGTGTAGATGGAATGAATAGATGGAAGGCTGGTTTGCGTGACGGACTGGACTATTTTCAGAACTCTGTGTAGTTTCTTATGGTATAGGACAGAACAGTTGCCATACCAAGCCATGATGTATCCAGATAGAATGCTTTCTGTGGTGCATCTATAGAAGTTGGTGAGATCGCTATGGACATGCCGAATTTCCTTAGCCTCCTAAGAGGCATTGTTTGGCCTCCTTGACCAGCGTATCAATGTGGGAGGTCCAGGACAGATTGCTGGGGACAACACAACTCAGCTTCAAAAGTAAAAACCATAACTGAGGCACCAACACCAAAATTTGTCAACCAACTATGATCATTATTGGTCTTGTTATATTACTTTGGATGCTTTGTCCCAAATCTTGCAACCATTCTCAAGCCATTGCACAATTTATTATACCAAGACAAGAATTTGAAATGGATAATCAATGTGAAAGAGTTTTCACACAAGCCAAAGAGGCTTTATTAAAGTCAGAAGTCCTGATCATGTTAACCTAAAGTTACTTTTGTAACTAGCATGCGATGTATCACCGAATGGAATGGGAGCAATCGTTCCTTACAAATTATCCAATGGTGAAGACCAGCCAAAAGCTCTTGCATCAAGATTATTAAATAAGCAGAAAGGAACTGTGACAGATAGATAAGAAGCTCTAGGAATCATTTTTGGCATTAGATGATTCCATCAATGCCTGCATGGCCAGGAATTTACCCTACTACCAGACCACAGACCATCAACCACAATATTTGGGCCTCATATAGGGATATCTTCTCTCACGGTGAGTCGTTTGCAAAGATTGCCATTGTTGCTATTAGTTCACACTTATACAATTAAGTATTGGTAATCATTGGGAAAGTTTAGGACCAGAGAGCGTGGCCTCAGAATATAGGGATGGCAATTTAAGACTGCGATGAGGAAGAATTTTTTTTCTCTTAGAAGGTTGTGAGTGTTTGGAACTCCTTGCCGCAGAGAGATGTGTGGCAGAACTCTTGTAAATTAAAGGCTGAGGTGGATAGATTCTTGATCATTGTTGGTGGGGTGGGGGGGAGCGGGTGGAATCAAGGGAAAGATACAGGGAAAGGGCAGAAAACTGGATGCAAAGAATGTTAGATCAGCCATGATCCTGTTAAATGGCAGGGAAGGCTTGAGGGGCCGAATGGCATGATCGTATTCCCATTTCTAATGGTCTTGATTCAACTTACATGGGAATGCTGGCTCTTTAGATTACCTTTACTCCAGCTAAACATTTGGGCTTCCTGGTTCACAGTATTAGCCCAGGTTTTCTTGTCAAGTCTTTGGAGTGTGGCCCTGTTTGCAAGATAATATTGCTGCTACTAAGCCAAGGGTGAAAAGTGCTGAAAGAGCACATATAATGAGATTAAACTATTCTTTTAAAGTACATCTATTATAATGCTACATTTTTCTGTCCTAATTTTCTGATTGTTTGATGCGGTAACTTAGTGGGTGAAGGCTGATGCATGTATGACAGTTACTGAGCTCCATCTCTTACTGTTCCCAACCTCAGATCCTGAGATCCATCTCCTGCTGTTTCTGAGGTACTGGGCTCCAACTCTCACTGCTCCCATATACTGCAGTTCTGAGTGCTGTTCTGTTCTGAAGAAGGGTCACAAGATTTCTCTTCACAGATGCTGCCAGACCTGCTGAACTTTTCCAGCAATTTCTGTTTTTATTTCTGACTTACAGCATCCGCAGTTCTTTTGGTTCACATATCCTCCACCATCTCTTGCAGAACTCCACTCTCAGTTACCGGGCTGCAGTTTTCTTTTTCTCACTGTGCCAGCACTCACTGACAACTCCTGACAATGGTGAGGCTGGGATGGCTTTGGGGAGAGGGTGGAACAAATGGGAGGAAGGAAGGGAAGTAACGGGGTGGCAGGGAGGGTATGTGAGGAAGATGGAATAAAGGGCATGGGTGTAATAGAGGAATGGGATCAGGTTGGGAGTGTGGGATTGGGTGATTCGAGAAAGGGAATAACATGGGGGAAGATATGATGTGCAGAAAGTCAGAAGCCACACGACACCAGGTTATAGTCCAATGGGTTTATTTAAAATCGCCAGCTTTCGGTGCGCTGCTCCTTCACCACGTGAAGTGAAGGTGGAGATTGGAATATGAGGTTGGCTGGGGTAAGGTGACATGCGATAGGGATTTATAGAAATACTGTTGCAACAAGGATATTACTTTTATACACACTTTCTGCACGTCTCCGTACTCTTCCCCTGCCCCATCGAATCTGCAACTGAACCCAAAGATGTACAAATTGTACCCAAGCCTTCTCGGGTTATCCAATCAGAGGCAGGCTCGAGTGTTGCAGTGTTGGGCAATACGGATGATTGACAGTCATCTCAGCCAAAGGCAGTGCTACATGGGCGGGCGGGGCGCCGGTTGTGAGCCAATAAGAGTGCGGTGGGTGGGCGGGACTTGGACAGGCTGCGCTGGGAAGAGAGAGAGAGCGCTTGCGGCTGAGCTCAGGAGGTAAAGAGCAGAGTTAAATACCTCAGGATCAGGGCAGCATGGCGCTAGGGACAGCTACATGCTGAAAGCAACAACAAAAGGTACAAATTCCGTGTTTGTCAACAGCCCAGAAAGGTTCGAGTGAAGCTGCTTATAAATAATTTACAGTAGATAAAGGAAGGGCTGGGGAAAGATGCTGTCAGCTTCCAGCCTGCCTCAGATATTGTTGCATTAGATTTTATTACAGCCGCATGCTCTTGTAGGAGATTGTCCTTGTGTTTCAGGTTCTCTTGACACTAGAATTAGTGTCCACCTGTACTTCATCTGTGCTTCTTGTCAATGTGATTTTTTTTTTGTAGTACTGTAATTATAACGTGATGGAGGAAATATTGCTTAACCGGTGTCGCCTTTCCTTGTTAGAGTTTTTTAAATGAAGTCTATCTTTTATTATCAACGTTTTTATAATTTTAAATGTTGTAAGCAAATTCTGGATTTATAATGTGAACCTTTACATTTATGTCCTGCATTTTACGTTGCCTTTACCTGTTTAATGTGTTTTCAGTCTGTTGCATTGTTATATAATGAACGAGGTATCTCGATTGCAAATTATTTGGTCTTGTATATTTTTCAGAAGTTTCTTTTTATGGACAGCAATACAATTTAAAGAGTTTTGATATTTTCTATGCAATATTTCCTTCTGTTAGCCACTGTGTACTACAATCCAGTTTTAATTCTAATATTGTCTGTCTGTGTTTTTGAATCAGTGGTAAGATCAGGAGCATAATATCCACGTTAATGTCGGTAAGCAAATATGCAGAGCAACTCCTCGGTTTTGAAGTTACCTGCTGTTAGCATTTGGGCGTTACGAGTGCTCCTGGGATAAAATCTGATCAGAACTGCCGCCCCAGAAAGTTAGTTGGTGATCTTTTACTGAAATTGCTGGATTATAGATGTCTCAAAAGTATGATTAAACTTTTGTTGTCTAGTTCCCTTTTGAAGCCTACATATGAGGATGGTCAATTAGGTAAGAGCTAAAAGATGCCTCTCCTTTTGGAGAGGAGAGTAGAAAACAATCAGTTAAATAGGTGAGGCTAACTGTCACTGAAAAGTGGCAGCTGTATGAGTTTGTTTACAACACTACACATTTGGGGAACAAATATGAGGATTCACCAAATGTAGGTACTTCATTCCCCCCCCTTAATGACAATGGGGATAGCTAACACTGTTTTACTGAATATCAGAATTCTGTGACTTGTTGGCTTAAATTGTATGACGAACAGCCCCATTCCAGGTGGGTCAACTCACTGGATGTGTTTGAGTGTAACTATTATGGTAGATTGATGTAGTCTGGGTGCAGTAATTACAGTCTTGCTCAAGATATATTTAAGTGTATTTTGTAAACATACATTAAACTCAATTTACTAAATTTGGTGCTGAAATATAATAACAGGACATCAGTACTGCATGGTTTTAATTTGCAAATAAAAATAAATTGACAGCTAGGTGACTGATTCAATGGGCGAGACATTGACCTTTAACTTTGTGATCAGAATTCAAATCTAATCTGGACTGTTCCATTGAAAGTCTTCAGTCCCTTAAATTGATTTTTAAAAATTGACCTTTTTATTCCATGCTTAGGACATATGAAACTGTATAGCTCAATATTCCCCCTAATTTGGCAATAAACAGCTGAGTAAGCGTGCAGATAGGTGTGAGAATGAATAATGTTTTTGGTGTATTGTGGAACAAGGTATCTTCATCATCTGTTTCCATCCTGGGGAAAAAATTCTACAAAGTGTACTTGAATCTTTGCTGTACTTGAGTCCATAACCTGTGACAACAACTTGTAGTGAAATAACACCTTTTTAATGCAATAAAAATATCATGGGTGTATCAATATAAAATTTGATGGCAAATCACATAAGCATAGGGTGGGTGACCAAAATCTTGGTCTAAAGAGGTAGGTCTGAAAGTGGCATAATTAGAGATTTGGAGACAGAATTCTGAATCTTGGGACCTTGGCAGCTGGCAATGGTGGAACAATTAGAATTGGGTATCCTCCTAAGTGGAGGGGTGCAGATAAGATTGAGGAAGGGGATGAGGTCATTGCTGAGTGTCTGGAATATCTGATGTTTGCTCTGTGAACAGATATGGTGAACTGTTTTCACAACTTTATTCTTAAATCCAAGGGATAGAGACATGTACCTTGGAGTAAGTAATTGAAAATTATGCTGAGTGTTTAAAAGAGGCTTTGCTTGACTAGAACCAGTATAGTTCAGCCAACACGAGTATTAAGTGAACAGGGTTTGGTGTGAATTATTATCACCTGAGTTTACACAGGGCAGAATGTTGGAGATAGGTGATGAGTGCATGGGAATAGTCCAGTCAAGAAGGAAAGGCATTGAGGGTTTCCTTGGCAGAAGAGCTGAAGCAGAGGTGAATCTGCCAAGGATGCAGAATTCAAAATAGTCAATTTTAGTTGTGCTGAAATGTGACCAGAATATCATCTCCAACATGATACCGAGATTTAAAATTGTCCAGACCACCCTGAATTGCCACAGAGGTGGATTGTAGTGAGAGAAAGGAGTTTGTTGTGGAAACTGAAGTAAATGGGCTTGGCCTTCTCATTTACGAGACAAATTTTTGTTCACCTATACAGTGTGTCAGACAAGCAGTCTGACAGTTGAGAGCTAGAGCAGGTGAAAAATGTGGTAGTGAGGTGGAGTTAGAAATTGGTGTATATGTGAAAACTGTCACTTTGTTTTCTTATATTGCTGAGGGGAAGCATACAGATGGAGAGATAGGAACAGGCCAAGGACAGATCCTCAGGGGTTTCCAAAGGACAGTGGGAAGAGAAACTACTGATGTTGATTCTCCAGCAATTTGGGTAAGAATAGAAGCAAGTGAGGGCAGTCCACCTAACAGGATGATAGTGGGAAGGGAATGGTGTGATCAATTGCTACAGGCTGCAGAGAGAAGGATGAGGAGTGTTTACATTTAGTGCAGCCTCAGGATGTAATTGATTTTTAAGAATTGTTGGGCTCCTACACAGGCAGCAACCTAATTGGAGAGCTTCAAATTATTGGAGTTTTGGGGAATGTTGGGCACAAATTTGAGATCGGAAGAAAGGGATGTCAAAGATAATGATAGTATTTGCAATGATGGAGGTGTTGTCAGTTTTTTAAAGCGGGACAAAGTTTTAGAGGATGGGTGGACAGTATTTGAAAAGAGAACAATAAATAGTGTTAGCCAAGTTGGAAGTCTGGAAGAGAAGTTAGTAAATACAATTTAATGGGAATAGGGTGAAGAGAGTTGGGGTTGGGTCTCATGGACATGAGAAGCTCATACAGGGTATGAAGGGAGTTGAGAACCTGGAGAACAATATAAATTCAGGGTTGGGGTCAAGGGATCCTCGGCATTTTGCCTGACAGGGGATAAAATGGCAGGGTCAAGTGATCTTATCTTGGTGAACAAGCAATTCATGAGTTCCATGTACTTGTTTTTGTATTGTAGACTGATCCTGTAAGTTTTGCAACTATCAGCAAGACCTGAATGCTTTGTGATCCAGTCACTTCTTGTAGTGAATGTCTCAATCAGTTTTATTATTTTTGTTACACAAACAGGAGGCTGGAAGAACAGGACTGAAGGATAATATCAGAAACGTTGATTGCTCCTTTCCTCTGGATGCTGCCTGGCCTGCTGTTCTTCCAGCCTCTTGTTTGTCTATTTTGGATTCCAGTATCTGCAGTTTTTTGCCTCTAACCTTACTATTTTTGTTGCCAGGATGTGGGATTTGCTGTATCTGCCAGTTATTGGTGCCTTTCCCCAATTTCCCTTGAGATTTGGTGAGGCAAGCTACTACTTGTCCTAACTCCTGCCTCTGAGCATTCTCCAGATGGTCACTGCTGAGTGTCTGGAATGTCTGTTTGCTTTGAAAACAGTTCACCATATCCGTTCACATTTCTTCACCATCCTTAAGTCCAAGGTAATGAGACATGTACTTTGGAGTAAGGACAGGGCGACAGATTCAGTTTTGTTGGGAATATAGTGTCAAAGATGAGCTTAATGTGTGATTGAGCAAATCAATTGTAGAAATGTCATGATGAATGGAGGGCCAAAAGCTGGACAGCTAAAATTTTGAAAGTGCACTTGTAAGTGAATTGGAGGAGACCTTTTCAGGGGTGCAAACAGAAGGCAAGGGGAATGTGGTTGAGTCGTACAGGGAAGTGATTGGGCATGGTCTTAGCTGTGATATGTTTGGAACAAGTGAGTCCATCTGAGGCAATGTTGAACACATACCATGAATACAAGTTGGTGTATTCCTATCTTGAGTGCTCTATTAGTCTGTATAGAGAGACCGTTCCTTTGTGTCTAGCCCATAATGTACCTACACCCTTTTCTGACCTATCAGAAATTATATGGAGATAACAAGATGTAGAGCTGGATGAACACAGCAGGCCAAGCAGCATCATAGGAGCAGGAAGGCTGATGTTTCGGGCCTAGACCCTTCATCAGAAAATCTGAT